CCCCCTCTGCTGGAGGAAGGGGAGGTGTGCAAGAGGCTTTGTGGTATTTTATTGCTGGCTGGAGTTAAACCACAACAAGCTGCTGCAAAGCAGCTGTGACTGACCATTAAGCAATTTGGTTAGGGAAAGCATGTATTTCAGTTACTTGGCAAGGCTGGTTGTTGTAAGAAATAAAGTGAACAGAAATACTGCTTTGTTTTAAAATCAACTTCTGGTCACCTTCTCAACTAACAAAATACGTTAGAGACCTAAAAATTGACAACATGCTATAAAGTTTCTATCATGAAACTGAAGTATTTCTGGACAGTCAGGGCAGCTTTACAAGGCCGCAAGATTGGGATGGAGGAAAATATGGCGACTATTAATTAACATGCCTGGAAGCTCATTTTTCTGGTTAATTCCTCAAAAGATAACAAAATACCTTGAGCACTTCAAAGCGGGGTTATTGTAAACCATCCACTATAGTATGAACTCTGACTTCCTGCCCATTACTGTCTCCAGCATGAGCCAGCCTGAAATCTTTTGTCAAGCAACTCCTCCCTCTAAAATCCCAGCATCACTGAGATTTCTGCATAGATAGTGACCTCGAAAATAACATTTAAATTTATTTCTACAGATCATATTAAATGACACACATACAACTGAGTCTGAAAAGTTTGGCAGTATCAGTTGCAAATCCTGAGATATTTCAAAGCTCCAGCTCAGTGTACTGTGATTACATGGTCAGAGCTGTCATGTTAAAAGTTCTGGCCCTCAACTACTGAGAATACCTGAAAAATATGAGAAAAACTAAAGATTCAGAAAGGCACAAAACAGGTAACTGCTGGAAAAAAGAAACAGTTTGTGATTTTAGCCTTTAGAAATGGCGACATGTGGTAGTTTAAAAAAAAAACAAAACCAAAACAAAACCAACCAACCGAAACAAAACCGAAACACGCCTGTCCTTCTCCCCCATTTCAGATTCTATAACCCCCCTAATGTGTATTCCTATTTCCTATGAACTTTGTAAGCCCTGGTTCCTGTTTTAAGCATATGCCCACACACTCCAGTTTTCATGCTGCTGTAGAAGCCAGTTGGGGAGGCAACCTCTCTGGTAACACATAAATGAATGCTAGTACATATGTATACCTGAAAGTATATTTGAAAGTTAAAAAAGAAATATATGTTTTCTATGGCTAAAATTTACTCATGTAGACAAAACAAGGAAATGTTTCATAGGAATAAAAAACCAGAAATTAATTCTACAATGAAACAGAAACGAAGATACAAAAACATGCTCATTAGTGCTTAAAACAATAAGCATCAATGACACTGACAATTCAAGAGGGCAGTGCTTCTATACAGAGGCTCTTGTAGGTAAGCTTTAGTGGTACATAACAAACTGCGTAAGCAGCAGCACATTAAAATAGTGTCAAATTGGATCAGAGAGGATTTCAGAGTTCTCAGTGGTGTTTGAGAGTTAATCAAAGTTAGTCAAGAGAAAGCAAGAAGCTACTTCATAAAACTCTGATGACATCTTAAACTAGAAATGGATTTCCTTTAACCTGTTTGCATGGAAGGCCATCATTACATTGTTACCAACAGAATGCAATTCCCTTTAGTGGCAAACCTGCAAGATGAAATATATCTGTGATAAACACAAAGTGGATCCAACTGAAGGGATGGGAGAAGAATGCCACTCCAGCTTTTTGAAGCTGTAAATTTAAGAGAATAGTCTGGTGGTCCATAGTGTCAGCAAATCTATTATTGCATCTTCCCACGGAAAGAAGATACGTGATGTGAGTGAAAGGAGCGAGGAAAATATCTGAAGTTTAGTCTCAATATATCAAAACTTCTTGGTTACAAATACAGAGTGAAGTGTCTTTCGGTTACTGAACACAGTCACCAAGTGTTTCAAGTTGGAATTTTAGCTTAACTTTCTTGCCATATTCTAATAACCAATCATCAAAATGTGGGGAGAAATACCCATGATCTTTAGGATTTCTAACTTAATGTATTGTTACATTAATAATTATTTTCATCATTAATTCCTCCAGCACTAATCTTCAGGCTTTTCAGTCTATGACTGTCAAAAGCCATAACATGACATAGAATCAGAATCATAGAATCATACAATGATTCTATGATTCTATGATTCATAGAATGATTCATAAATCATTCTATGAATCATAGAATAGAATCTATGATGAATGATAGAATAGAATGATTCTATGATTCTATGATATGTTATGGCTTTTGACAGTCAGACTGAAAAGCCTGAAGATTAGTGCTGGAGGAATTAATGATGAAAATAATTACACTTCTAAAGTATAAACCAAGTTCCAAAGTGATTACACATGAGCTGTCCTTCACACATCACAAGTATTTTATATAACCTCAAATCACAATTTTTATTTCTGCAATGACTATAAGGCAATAAATCTGAGACAAATGTGAAGGGACTCCACATTTCTGTGAAATGCAGTAGTTGTGTGAACAAGATGAGGTCAACTCAGCATTTTTCTTTTTCCAGTAATGAACACCTCTGTTTCTATCAGCATGTTCTATCAACATGTGACGAGAAGCATAAAAATTCCAGATTTCTAGACAGAACTTCTGTATGGGATCCCTATTATATCTAAACTCTGACAATGCTTTATGAAGTGTTTATAACAAGTCCTTTTCATAGTTGCATGAAACCTTAACCCAGAATTTGTTCAGTAATTGCTTCTGGTGTCTTTCACTGGTACAAGTCAGTAATAAAATGTGTATAGGAAATCACAAGTAAAAAAAATAAAAATCCATAAAAAGCAACAGTGAGGAAGAGAACAGAAATAACATAGCAGAAACTAAGAGAAGAAAGCACTGCCAATACATTCTTTTTCTTCCTCTAGTCCCCTGAACAGTACTTGTAAATCCCAATAGCTTTAATATACTCAAAATCCCTAAATTATTACAAAAATATGCGAGCAATTTTGTCAGTGTAACCAATGCTTACAAATATTGTGATGCCATGCTAAATACGACAAAGGTGGGTTTAGTCAGACTGCTTAATTATCAAGCTTACCGCTCCAGGCTTGCTCTGTCTGGCCAGGGAATATTGAAAGGTATTCTACAGTATGTTGGGGCAGAGGACAGAACAGAAGAATTAAAAAAAAAAAAAAAAGTTGAAAGGAAAAATTTAGATAAATAACTGAAGTGCTCTATATTGGCAATGTATCTTCTTCAGGGGGGATGCTTATAAATAAAAGCAATGCTTCATGACAGCTAGTTGCCAGGTAGAGAAATATTTGTAAAAATTCTGCTAGAAGATGCTATTTCCATGCTACGTATGTCTTGCATCTAAGCCTTACTTGAACTCTTCACACAACAGAAGCTACTACCAAGCACTATTTAAGAATTCTTTGTCTCTAATTGTGAAATAATAATTTTTAAAGAAATCATTTTCCAACACAAAAAGAAGCAACAGTCTATAGCTTCAGATTAGACACAAGGCTACTAAAATCTACTGTTAGGTTGGCATGTATTTTACATCCTGCTTTTAAACAAACACTAACTCCGTAAGGTCGTTGAATACCAATGTCTCATTACAATATACAGCTCCAAAGGCTACAGTTTAAAGAACTCTAAGCCAGGCTATTCAATTAAAGCTTTGGCAGATGAAAGCTGTTATTCATTTATCTTAAGATAAGCACTTGGAATGACAACTTGCAACTCTGAAAGTGCCTTTTAGCATGTTTGCACATTCTCATTCCCATATCTACTTGAAGATACAAAGAAATGAACAAGAGTAGATTCTGGGTTTGAAAAGCAGTTTTACATCAGGCCAAGTTAACCTTAACTTGACAAAGTGGGGTGGTTAAAACAACAACAAAAAAAAACCCCAAAACCCAAAACAAACAGAAGAAAACCAAACAAATAAAAACACTTGTCCAGAATCCCTCTGTAGTTCACCCATTTTCCTAGTCAGGATGGGGAGGAACTGAAATAAAAGTTGTATCATTCTTGAGTTTTAGATTGAATACAGAACTGACAGGTTTTAAGAAGTCAAACTAACCATTTAGTGCCAGACTGTAGATAAACATTCAAGAGAAAAGGCTGCTCACACTGGCCTTGCAATACGAAGGCAGCAGAGTAGGCTGACTGTGTCATGATAAAATTGTGAGGAGGGTAGTGGTAGGGAATCTAAATCTGGAAGGTAACTTTTTTACCTAACTGGCAGTCTTCACATTTACAAAATAGCCACCTGAAATGGGACGTCATTCCTCACTGCTAAATCCCAGTGAGAGATAAATGACTCACCTGTCCACTGGAGTAGATGTATTTTCAATAAAACTAATAACTTTTTCTTTTACATTCACAGATTTAGTCTTCAAAGCAACTGTCATTTTATTCATCAGGGACTTTACTCCTTTCCCGTCACTTGAACCATTAGGAGAATCGCCCTGTTAAAGTAACTCTTCTCAGGATTAATCATATAAAAATAATGTTATTTCATGTCTAGTTTGTTAAGAAAGGAAAAACAGACTACAGAACAGTAATCTACTTTTTGGTACTCAGTAGAACGTTAATTACAGCTTCAAGTATTCTTTTAGTTCTATCAAATAGCAGCAACGATACGTGTCTGAGGTACAGATGGTCCAATAAAGCAAGTTTAACAAACCTTATTACTGAGCACCCTGCTATGAACATCTAGAGAGGAAGGAATTCTATTAATGATAGATTATATCCAAATTAAAAGCCAGATTCTCCGTACAACATATCAGCTGTAGAAAAGACACAATGTTGAGCGTTCCCATGAAACTGTGTGCCAGTTTTACATGAATTTATTCCCAGAGTGAGGAACAGCCAGGAAAAGAATTGTCCATTACATATATTCTGCTGAAGGATGACTAAAGCAAGCTCTTCTCTACAAGCTCTTCCTCTCAAGAAGATAAAAATGTTTAGGTCACCTCCAACTAGACAGTGAATACAGACTGAAATTAAACACCCAACTGAAAACAATCATGACGTGCATTAATGCCTTTTACAGACAGAATGAGGAATATGAAGAAAAAATTCAGTACACCTGGGGCTCCCATCCCACTATACCACTTCAGCTTAAGATTCACTTACATCAACGGAGGAGTTTATGCTACTTCTTGAGCCTGAGGTACTAGCGATCCAGTGGCCATAGCCGTTTTCTGGTCCTTCCACATTGATATCTGCCAAGTGCTGCTGGAGGGCTGTTCAAAAGCCATTGAAAAAGGTTCAGAACTATATTGGAATTAGTCTGTCAATGAAAATACTGTATATCCAAGAGTAATCAGTAACAACTTCTGCTCCACATGATTTAATAAACCAGATAAATTCAGATACCACTATAATAATCCCTGGCTTTTCTTTTGGTAGTACAAAGGCATTAGAATAATCTTTATTTTAGTAAAGAAAACAGTTAAAATACAGCAGCAACTAAAAATAAGTCACTGGTTTGATCCTAAAGATGGCAGTTATGACACTGCACATACTGATTAGGAATGCCTCTGTACTCATATTTTAGCACAGATCTCTCCACTGTTGTAGAGCCTGGTTGATTCCAGTCACATAAACTGCAGAATTACAAACTGATGATTTAAGAAACACAACAACAATTAACAGTAATTATGAAGTAGCATCTTCCTATGGAGCTGCAATCTACAGAGACTAAACATCAAAAATGGTAAGTTAGAAGAAAGAGGGCATTTCCCCACTTCCTGTCTTAATTTTTCACCATTCAGAAATGTGGGTGAGCCGTAACTGGTAACAACAAATGTGCAAGTGCACAGTGTTGGCTTACACAAAACAAAACCTGACAAATTAGACCTATTTGCTATTAATTTAGCTGATTTCTAGCCAAAGCCTAAAAGAAAAAAAAAATTTAAAAATCAAAAGCAGCAAGATGGAATCATAGAATGATCATAGAACCACAGAATGGTTTGGGTTGGAAGGGACCTTAGAGACCATCTAGTCCCAACGCCCCTGCCATGGGCAGGGACACCTTCCACTAGACCGGGTTGCTCAAAGCCTCATCCAGCCTGGCCTTGAATACAGCCAGGCAGGGGGCATCCACAGCTTCTCTGGGCAACCTGTTCCAGTGCCTCACCACCCTCTCCAGGAAGAATTTCTTCCTGATATCCAATCTAAACCTCCCCACTTTCAGTTTAAACCTGTTACCCCTTGTCCTGTCACTACAGGCCCTTGTAAAAAGTCCCCCCCAGCTTCCTTGTAGCCCCTTCAGGTACTGGAAGGCTGCATATCATGTTTTCTCAAGCCACACCTCATTATTAATAAGCTTACCCATAAATCCTCCTTTGGCAATGCTTACATACTCCTTATTTTTCTGCAACAGAAAAGACATTCATGTTTGTAGCAAACATCTGTGGAATAAGTTTTGCAAGCATGGTAATGAAACATGGGTTAATTTCATAAAAGCTGTAAACTTGAGTAATGTAAAAAATAGCTAAGTTTTTAAGGGGAAAGTATTTTACCATTTAGTATCAATGACCTGTGCAGACACACTTTATTGCAGCGATGAAAATCAACAGCAGTTTAGCTGTACCTGTAAGAAGTGCGCTAGCACCATGTTCATATACATATCTTCTTCTTCCCTGCCACTTCCCATGAAGCAGAGGTGTTCCCCACCAGCTATGGAGCCAGACTCAATAGACTGCTTTTGTGCTTCTAATAGGGATTTTACAGACTGTGCAAATTCTGATGGGTTTTGAAGCATCTGTGGAACAAACAAACAAAAAGTGCTGTTTGACACCAACACAGCATGGGAACAGATACACTTTGAAAACGGTTATAATTGGTTGAGCACAAACAAGGCAACATCAGCACTGTACAAGAGACACACACAAAAGAGAACCTGACACAGACCTCATGTTACATAAAGAACATTCAGAATGGTCCGTTTCTTCCTCACTCCACCTTGCTCTCCCCAGGAAAGAAATGCAGATAACATTTGTTAATTTATTTTTGCAGACACCAAATAATAGTGGAAAACGCCTTTGCTACTTCCATGTTGCAACTGGGACTGACTTCCATATTAACATATGCCTGAGCATACCACCTTCAAACTTTGCACTTCTGAAACCCTTTATCTACAATTTCGAAGTGCCAGTAAAGTCATCCTCTTCTTGTCTCCCCACCAACCTTTTTCTCATTTACTTACGTGGAAAAAAAATTGCAATCAGGAGCACAAAGAGATACCTGAGAACTCTCATAAAGTTAAGGCTGTGGTCTCCTGAAGGCCTATTATGCATGCAAAACCAGTGACCCGCTATATGAAAGAGATGGAGAAACAAAGACTTTCTAAATACAGCTGAAATTTTAACCTGCTCTTGTGTGGAAGGCACTTATTTAAATTAAGGAAATGCTGACCTGTAACTGGACCGTGAGGGTGGTGCGAGGAGGAATTGTCATTTTCTAGCCTTTACACTGGATTAAATGATGGACAAAGTAACAACTACACAACCTACCCATCCGTGAGCCAAACTGAATTTTAAACAGGGTTTTCCAGGAGCCAAATGCTGCTGCTTTATTACACAGGTGCTAAATCTCCCTACTTCTCTACCTAACACTACCTATAAATGAGATGGATTCCAAAGTGCTTTCCCCACTGTCTCCCCTTGATGCAAATGGTGTGTACTTTGAACATACAAGAGTATAAAACTCACTGAAGTTCCATTAATGGCTTTTTGTCTCAAATGTTATTCCCTACAACATTTTCCTGGCATTAAACTTCTAAAACCAGAGATGAATGTGGTGACATTCATCCAGCATGGCTCATGAAGGAACCTAACCATAACAGCTGGCACACAACAGAAATTAATTCCAGTCTGTCATTTAAATACATACGAACCAATCAACTCCAATTTAAGAATTGTCTTCATGGACTGCTTTTTCATATATTACTAGGTTTAAAAAATAGTAATTTATAATGCTTATTTCTACTTTACTGAATATGATGTTCAATTCAAGCTAGCAGAAGGACACCCACATACCATGGGGCAAGTTTTTTTTTCCTAAATTACTATTGATAGGTTAAAATTGAAAACACTATCAGAGAATCACTTAGGTTGGAAAAGAACCTTAAGATGAGGGGAGTCCAACTGCAAACCTAACACTGCCAACACTCTACCACTAAGCCATGCCTGTAAGTGCCATGTCTACAAGTCTTTTAAATACCTCCAGGGATGGTGACTAAACCACTTCCCTAAGGAGCTTGTTCCAGTGACTGACAACCCTTTTAGTGAAGATATATTTCCTAATATCCAATTTAAACCTTCCCAGGCACAACTTGAGACTGTTTCCTCTTGTCCTATCACTTGTCACCTGGGAGACAAGGCCGACACCCACCCGACTACAACCTCTTCTTAAGTAGTTGTAGAGAACTACAAGGCCTCCCCTCAGTCTCCTTTTCTCACCTATATAATTATACTTGTGCAAGTAATTAAAATGATGTGTTATTCAGAATTAGAGAGGTAAAGATAATAGATGCAGGACTGAGCTTCGTAACTAAGAAAGGTAAAAAAAGCCTTTTACGGGGCATATACATAGAAATAACTCGTGAAGCATCCATAGACCATTTGAAGTGAAACAGTACAGGGTTAATCTAGAAGTGAATAACACACTGTAAGCCAGCTGAAGCATCAGTGATTTGGGGAAAAAAGAAGAGAGATAAATATGACTGAATGTTCAGTTAGAAATTTATAATCAAACAGGAACGATAGAAAAATCTTTAATGAAATAGTCTAGTACATGTCAGTCCTAAAATTAATGCACTTCCTTTCTCGTATCATATTGCAAAAATTTTAAAGGAGCAACCAAATCCTTTTCCTGACACATGTTCCTTACAAGCAGGCTGAGGTGAGAACAGCTGGGGAAAAAAAAACCAAAAGAAACTACTTGTTAATATTAATGACACCTTTCATTAGAAATTATGATACGAAGAAAAGCTTTCTCCTCCAAGCAATGTCTACTCTTTAGCTTGTATGGGTTTCCAGTTCTAAGCAAAGAACAAGAAGTCTGAAATACCAATTATAATGCCATTAAGGACTAAACTTAGTAAAAATGATGATTCCACCAATCTTCTTCAGAGAAGCTAACTTCTGAAACCTCATCACACAGCTAGACACTGCAATCCAGCGACTAAAGGATCACTTTTTTTCAAGACATTTTCCTCTCCTATTTAACTTAGGAATCAAAAATAAGTAAAGAAACAAAAAGCATACGAACCAAATCTGAGTCCAAATGAAATGCTGTTGATAAATGCCCAGCATTGTATTGCTCTGCAGGACGACAATCCACTACAAAGAACCTTACGCCTTCCTGGAAAGGGAAAGATTTGCCTGTTACAAAATCTGAAGTTTTGTAATTATTGATGGTAAAGTACATAGTTCAATTATATTTTAATACTAATTCCAATACTGCAGGAACCCCTCAGAGGGGATAACGGGATAAATTATTGGAAAATCTTATTTCACCTGATTAATCTGAACTTCTACAGTTACCAGACCACTGACAATATTCCAATAATGATTTCTCATTAACACATCAGCTGGTGCATCAGAAAGGATCACCCAAGTGCAACACACACGGTGTAATAATTTCACCTCTACTGTGAAGAAATATAGTCTGTGAGGGCACACACCAACAAGACATCAGAAGGGACAACTTTGAAGTGCCAACCCAACAGTCCATTACTACTCAGCATAGCACATAAGGATAGCTTTCTAACCCAATGACTTAAACAGGGTATCAACAGATGCTTAACTTGGACTAGGGAAAAAAAACCAGACAGTATGCATGATGAAACTGGGGCCTGGAAGTGCTACAGAAAGTCAGTAATCAATAAGAAACACTGTAATCTAGCCACGCTATTATCCATATGGTGGTTTTAAATACTCTAAGCCCCTGCCTCTAAGTATGTCTGCAATTAAATTCTACAGGAATAGCTTGAATCAATTTTTGTTTGAACTCTCTATTGACAGAAGACAGGTATTTCATAACGGCATTCTTTTCAAAGGTACTGAGTAGCAGGTTTTAAATTTTCCTCTAAAACAGCTATATTTGGGAAGGAATGGAAGTAAGTGAGACATCACTTTAAGCTCCCACTCTGATTCAAATCAGCTGTATCAAGCTCCCCTGTGCCACAGCTCTAGTTGCTACAGCACAGGCGCACTGCAGCCAGCCGATCATTTACAAGGAGACAACTTCTAGACAAGAATACTTTTTCCTGAAATAGCAAATATTCACCTGTGTTGTTAGCACTTAAAAATATTGGTGATACACAAAGTAGTAAGTGATTCTTTCCTATCAAACTGCAGAGGGAAGGGTGGGGGAGGGCATGGGGAAGAGTAATTCAATATACTGACTCCTTGTTGCTGATTTGCTTGAAGAATCTCAGACACAGAAACTGCCAGACAGAGCGCCTGGCTCAAGTCTGCGTCATCATCTTTGAGGCCCAGCAAGCTGCTGCCAAAAAGACTGTGGTTGTCCTAACAAGGCAAGAAGGGGAAAAAAAAAAAAAGTTAACTGAAGCCATCAGCTTTCAATGCAAAGGCCTGAAGTAAAACTATATCCAGCATTTCACAAACATTAGCCCCGATAACATGTGTATCTTGTCGAGAGTCATCAAATTTCTGATCAACTGAAATTCTTTCTGAAAATCAAGGTGTGAACTTCTGTTACAAACATGCTTGTTCACCACTGACCAGTAACAAGATGAAATACCTCTGGTGGGCTGGGTTTTTTTTGTAAATACAAGCTAAATGAAATGCTATCAATTACTTTTATTTCATAAATTCACTGAAGTCAGATATCCTGAGTAAGGAAAAACTGCAAGGACAGTGCAGGTGATGACAGCTTTCTCTCTAGTAAGTGACTTCTTCCTGTCTGCTCCTGCAGATACAGCTAGGGCTGCTGTGCAGTCTACTACAACGCAGTTGTGCCAGTATGGTATTTTTGTTTCATCAGTTCTTACGAGAACCTGGTTTGCAAAACAAGGTATCAGTCATAAAGTACAAATATTGCAGAGAAGCTTCTCCTAACACGCTTGACCTAACTTTTTTATCCTTCAAAGATTCTAACAGTAAATATCACCCGAGTAACAACATGGAAAAATAAACTTTTAAAAAAAATCACAATGAAATATTCAAAGTCACAGTCACCAAAGAGAAGAGAATTTCAAAATTACTTTGATATTACCTTCCTGAAAGAAGCTGGAGTTTTGCTACAGTAATATTGTGCCAAAGAGAAGAGGTCCTCTATATCCTCTAAATCAAGATTGGCTGGTGAAGTTTCTAAGAATTCTGAGATATACAAACAACACAAGTGCACCATTATTTCAGACTCAGAAAAGAAGCGCCATACATCTTCTCACACCATAAAATAACATTTTTAGTAAAGCATGACACAACTGAGTTTATTGATTTAATATGAATGTCGATTCCCTCTCCAGGTAATTAGAGGAAATACTCCTTATCCACAGGAAACCCATGCTATTTACCAGAAGTTCAAACCTTCTAAACAAATTATTTTTTACCACTCTTACCTCTGTATAGTTCTATCTTTCAGCTGTAATACTAAGTCAGCTGCCTTGTCTAAAGAGGACTGACCAAGAGAATCCTCTAAAACAGAGTACTTCACCAGCACTACCGTTACATGTCCAGGATAGCACAAGGGTGTAGTTCTGCAGTACATGGCAAAGACACAAAATTCCACGCACTCTCATTTTTAACTACTTGGAGATTATTAACCATATTGTATTACACCATGTATAACGATACAAAGGCAGGTGAAATAAGCTCACAAGAAATTTAGTCTAATTTCTGTGAAAACAGAGGAGGGGAAGATAAGAACAAGGAATTAGGCTCAAATCAAGTGCATACAAAGATAATAATCTGGAAAACGCAGTAAGTGCAGTAGATTTAAGAAGGATTTGAAAGCTGCTGCTTTGGACTTAGAAACATGGTGATTGTTTCAAGTACTCAAAACTGACATAAAACTAGGGGTGGGAGTGCTAAAAGGAAACATAAGAAAAGAATGTTAAGGACAGGGCAAGTATGATGCAGCAAAAGAACAGTAAGAAAGGAATTAGTGGGTGAGAGTATTGATTAATGAGAAAGTCACAGCGAGATATTTAAATAATTCCTATATTTAGTAATTAAAAATAAGGAATAAGGATTATACTATCTAGTAAACATTTCACCAGCAGCTATATAAGAGAAGTACTTACTTATCATTTCTTCCTTATCTGATTCTTGTGCTAAAATAACGTCTCTGAAAATAGTAAAGTCACAGACATAGATTAAGTCAGTAAAACCAAAATGAAACAAAAGTGGATTAAAAAGCTGTCAGCAAGAAATGTCCCAAATAATTAACTATACACTTACTTTGCATTGACAAGGATGATTAACATTAAGAAATAAATAAAGAATGGATCTGCTTGTTGTAGATATCCATCCCATATTGCCTGAGTGACTTCAGCCGAACAGTAATATGAGAAGAGGCTTCCAAGCTAAAAATATGGAAAACAGTGTGAGAAAGCCAATAACCAGGAACAATCTTACCAGGATAATATTTTTAACAGAGATACAAGATATCTAAAAGAAAATAAACCCAACAAAATCATGTTAAAACATACATTCGCACCATGTGCTGAAGGGTGGTTACACCCTCCACCACAGTTTGTAATGGAAACAGTGCAGTAATGCTCCAGGTTATGTGTGAGTAAATACGCCCAGTGTGAGGGCAAACTCAGGCTGCACATTCTCAGCCTTGCAAATTGAACCAGAGATAACACAATCACGCTGGAAAAATGCTTAGCTCATAGTCACTGCTAAATACCAATTATACCATGAAGACAATAATAATAAAAGACTATATTTACTCAACTATCTTAGCAAATAGGACTTTGACAGGATCCTGTAAACAACATTCTTTTGATTTTTCACAGTAGAACCAAGTTAATTGAACATGGTTGAATATTAGTTTCACAACACCACCTACTTAACATTACATTATAATGCTTTATGGCTGAATAATTAAACATTTGCAAGTAACAGAAGATTTTCATTATTATTTAATAAACTCATTGCCTGATCCCATTTAAAATATATCCTCTCTGGCATGCAAAGTTCAAAGTGGTTAAAAGCAAAGGCAGGAACTTCTTTGCAAACATGCCAGATAATATCTGCAATCACACCTAACACAAATGCATTCCACCTGGTTTCACTAGAGTATTACTGAACTTCCTGATGAATACAAATTTTGTAACAACAGAGCTACACCTTTCAAAAGCTCAGTATCTGTTTTAAAATACTATCAAGGAATAGTTCAACACCTAATAGTATACTTTTATAGCAAAAGGTGGGAAGATCTATCCCATTCTGGGTCAAATGCAACTGAAGACAAAATGTCCCTGAACAATGAGGCAACGACAGGTCTCTGAATGTTGGTTATGTATTTCTAACACATCAGAAACACCTCCATATAGACCAAGTTTTTTGACAGTTGAAACAAGGAATTTTAATGTAATCTCATAATATAAAACAAAGCTTAAGGGTTGTTTTTTCCAAGACTGTACACCAGAAAGCATGACACTGACGACTGGCAGCTACACTACCTAATTTCCCTCCCTCCTTTCAAAGGGAAGATTTTTTTTCCTAATGAATCACTAAACTTTTAATAAACAACTTCAAAGAAGTTTGTAATTACAAAGAAAAATTTTGTATCAAAAAAGAGATTCAGTACTAAAAAAAAAAAAAAAAAGAGACTCAATTCCTCTTTTGAAGGCTGATGACTGGCAACAGGCAGATTTTGAGAATACGGAAATTTTTCCTGGACACACTTTAATATTAATATTGGTAGTAGCATAAGAAAATAATTTTTTAAAAAAATATTCAGACCTCACAGTTTAACAATTAATTTCAGTCTTATTTCTTTAACTGAAAATGATAGAGTTACAAAAAATTTTACAAAGCCAATAGGTATGAAAGAAGAGCCTAGAAGAGTTCATGGGTCATACTGTCTTCTTTATTAATTTACAGACTGCCTCTGCAAGCACTGTATCACGATTTTGTATTCCACATACTAAGTAGCATTGAAATGAGAGAATTTTACTGCTTTATGTTGTAGTCCTGCTACACAAACCATTAAAAAAAGATTGAGGTAACTGTCATTATAGCTACCTCAACTCAAGGCAGTTTTGAAGTTAAGGTGAGGAGGAAATGACCAATTCTTGAAGAGCTGTGAAATGTATGAGGCCCTCAAATATATCTATTAGCATGGAGGTTTTTAAAACTATTAGTGTTTTGACTTTAAAAGACCACCTAGGCTGATGTTCTTCTGCATCTACAACCCTACAGCTACCCACTATACAAACTAACATCACAGTTTCTTACTTAGAGTATGTCAGTTGCTTTCATTCTTACTTATCCGAAGTAGTTCCTAACAACAGTGGTTCAATTAACATTCAGTACAATAAAATTGCAACGTTAACAAGATCTCATGCCTGTGTAAAACAACCAAAGTCAAAAAGCCCATACTACATTAAAACATGCAATTTATTTCAATAAATGGAGCTCCAATCTCTTGTATTACTCTTCCATAAACTGGCAACATGTACTTAAATTTTAACAGAAATTTATTTTTCATTATGTTTCCCTACTTTCACTTTATTACCCAGTTGAGTGCATATGAGTCTGGAGTCATCTTCTTAGTATCAAGAAAGGAGCAGAGTTCAGGCTCATGGTACTGAAGAAGTAGTCTAAAGAGATGGAATGGTCTTCCCTTCATGAAACAATCCCTAGAAGGTAGCAGTGAAAATAATCATAAATCCCCAAACCAAAAAGAGGAAGCCATTTGATATCCTCCGTTGGAGGTAACACTGATGTAATGTAAGCAGATGTAATTCACCTTCCACACATGGTCCCTGAGATGAGACACACTTCCATTATCTACTTGCAGCTTTTTAATTACTTTACTACCTTACAAGCTCTCACACAAATCACTGACTACTCAACTGCCTATCTGAGATGGTGTTTTCTTCTACTTGTGGCCCAAACAAAGAATACTAATGACCTAGGACTTCATATAAACTGTTTGTTAATTGTGCATAATTCAGAAAACTCACCATTCTAGAGGAAAAAAAACCCCAGGTATCCAAAGGATACTTTATACCAAAAGCTGTGAGACTGAGAGTGTTTCCAAAGAAAAAATAGCAAAACCTCCCTCATCTAAAAATAGTCTACTGTGGGTTTGTTTTCCCCTCCCCCACCTTCTTCCTTTGGCTTGCTAGATCTCCTCCTTCAAAAAAAAAAAAAAAAAATCCAAGCTATAATATGATCCCGCAGATTATGCTGTCCATTCCCCTCATTTGTTGTCAATATTTTGTTAGAATGGATTCCCAATAAATATTTCATAATAGATACAAAACATTAGAAAACAGTAATAAAAACTGTATGATTAAAAAAACCCCAAAATAGCAAAAAGTGAAAAAACCCCTTTCCCCAAATAATGTAATGAGGTCCAGCAGCCAAACATCAAACTGAAACCACACTGACATAAGTGGAGCTCCGCCAAGTCTACTATGAATTGCCTCTTGATGCCTTTCATTCCCCCGTTGGAGAAGGAAAAAAAGGAGTGGGGGAAGAGAGAGAAGAGTCTACATGTTGTGGAAACACCACCTTGTTCTCACAGAGAAACTCCAATACTAGACACTCTGAAAGACTTCTATGGCTGAAAATACATGAATTGAATACATGACCGTAATGCCACTATCCCCAAACACTTCACAGAGCCCAGAGTGTTTTAAATCAGAAATGCACACAAGCTGAGTCAAGTGGTGGGAGTGATAGATGTTTCCTGCCACAGCACCAAACATGCACTTTTCATATTATGGATACGCATTCAGTAGCTGGGCTGGAATCTCCTCTCCAGGGAATCAGACTGAGATCTTTAATTACAAACTATTCATATATTTTTTCACAAGGTCTTAATCAGAAGATCCTGTAGCCTCACTGAGTGTCATGGTGCTACTCCAACATAAATAAAGTTATTTTAGTGAGAGCATCTCTATAATAGCATGAAAAGCTCCAATTTCTTTTTTTTATTAAAAAAAAAAAAAGAATCTAACAACTTAAAAAAACCCCAAACATTTCATTCCCAACTCAGCAGAATACAGGGAAAATGTTAACTATTTCTTCTAAAGAGATTTTGAGACTTAATCAGTACTTATGAAGTACTTTGAAATGACAGGGGTAGAAGCATTTTAGATACCAAAAATGCTAGGAAAGAAAGAAAAAATGCTTTCACATAACATATATGAATTAGTTCATGAACAAATATTTTTTGACAGTTGTTCTTTAAAAGGCACATCGAGTCACAGAACCATAGAATGGTTTGGGTTGGAAGGGACCTTAAAGACCATCCAGTTCCAACCCCCCTGCCATGGGCAGGGACACCTTCCCCCAGAAGGGACACCTTCCACTAGACCAGGTTGCTCAAAGCCTCATCCAGCCTGGCCTTGAATACAGTCAGGCATGGGGCATCCACAGCTTCTCTGGGCAACCTGTGCCAGTGCCTCACTGCCCTCTCCAGGATGATTTTCTTCCTGATATCTAATCTAAACCTCCCCACTTTCAATTTAAACCCGTTACCCCTTGTCCTGTCACTACAGGCCCTTGTAAAAAGTCCCCCCCAGCTTCCTTGTAGCCCCTTCAGGTACTGGAAGATTGCAATAAGGTGACTGAGTCTACGTCAGTCACATGCTAACTCTTTATATCTTAAACCAAATCAATCCTCTCCTGACTTCCAACCCAGAGGTACTGAAAGCTGGTTCAATTTATTATTCTATGTAGGAATCTGACAACTTCACTACAAACAGTGACACTCTAGCTGAAACCAACATACACATCCTTTCAGAAAATATATTTAATGCCAATAAAAACAGCACACAGGCAAAAGAAAGAGTGCTTTACCTTGGAATGAATTTATTCATGATAGCATAAAAGCAGTTGTACAGATCGCTGCGTGGCAAACGAAGGTGCACCAGAGGTTTGAGTAGATGTATCCAGCCAAGGCAAGAACTGTATTTAACATTGCGTGATTTACAATAAAAAGTAATAACTGACTCAATATCCAGAAGTAATACTGACTTCTCCTCTTCTGGCACCAGCAACTGGTCTGACATAGGCAGAGCAACATAAACCTGTGTTAATGGCCTTTCAAAGAAACTGAATAAGATTATTTCACAGCACAGTTGCACTGACAGGGACTGCTGAGGGTGAGGGGGGTGGGGGAGGCAACAAAACCAGACAAACCAAAAACTAGCAGCTTGGACTAAATGCTTATAGAAAAGCATCCAAAAAGGCATCAAATACAAGTGATTTTAACCCCAGTAGGATAAGGCATTTAAATATCATTGAAGTACTGCAACAACAGGATTAAAGTTCGGGTTTTCCCGGATCTATATGAAACAAAGATTCTTTTAACACACAGAAAGCCTCTCTTCTATTCCTATTTGATGTGCTCAGCACGTAACTGATGTCCAACTCTACAACAAGTCAATTTTAATTTCAACACGGTTCAACCCACAACCCATACCTCCAATTCCTCACAAGCCAACTGACATGCAAATTTATGAAAATCAGTAGTTTGAAATCAGCTAGGCTTACAGACTTAAATTTTAGTATTACCAAACTAAACACATTTTTAATCTCTACCTCAAAGTAATTTTCCTAACAATAGTTTAAAATTCGGGTGTGTTAGGATAGCTATAAAGAGAAATTATTTGATTACTTACAACTACACCTGGCTTTTAAATTTGCTTTGCTACTGTTGCTAAGCAGAAGATACACTAAGCATAAACATATATATAATCTTCTATACAATGTAGCACATTGTTTCAACTTCTTACAAATGTTGTAAGGTACTGAAAGGCAAAGATATCCCCTATTTAACGGTAGACTAATAGTGAATCCATAATTTATATTATTGCATTTGGATGATAATTTGCACAAAAAGTTTGGTAAAAAATGAGTTCCGTAATTAGGGTAACAAGCTAAACACTTCTTAAGTACTGTCATTATTGAGTTTGATACTTAGGTTGTCATTAGTTGCAAAGCATCTTTCCAATTTAATTCCAATTTAAAGCATTTAATCCAACCCAAAATTTAAATCTCTATATAACCATAATTCAGAACTAATATCACATTTATTACTTTAATCAGTTTAATGTTGTTACATATTACAAAATATTTGCAATAAAGACAAAAGTAAAATGAGCACAGACTAAAGTGCTTAATTTTGTATGTTATGAATACTAATTTGATACTAACACTGGTGCATGATGTCAGGGATTTGGCCATTTTGGTGATGAGCTGCCAACCAGATCTTGTGGCAGCTCCTTGCAGACATACCAGAATATTATTTCCAGTATCCTGGCAGCATCTTGCTTTCACAAACAGCACCTTTCATTTTTGCTGAAAACAGTCTTTACAAAAAAACAAACAAAAAAAACCAACAAGAAACCAAACCAAACAAACCCCCACACCCAAAACTTTCAAAAAAGAGACTTTGAAGTCCAAAATCTTTGATGTACTTCTTCCCTTAGAGTGCATATAGGTTACATGCATTTTGCTGCTACACCAGGTTTTTCAGATCAAGTACCAGTCATTAGACAATTAAAAACTTGAATGACACTATAGAAAGAGTTTCTGGTTTAAAAGATGGAGCTTAGAAAAAAAAATTAAGTTTTTTAACTCCTGGAGCTTTCTTCCCATTTGGCTCTGATCATGCAAACTATCACTTACAAGCTAATACTTGAAAATTCTGTGATGTTACCCATCTCAGAATCACAGTATGAATAAGATACTACTGTTTTCTCACAAGCTCTTTCAGATTTTCTCTATCCTTCAAAAGTTTCCTCCAAAACATAAACATTATTCAGCTTATTTAATTCAAATAACAAACTCCTAAGGCAACTAAAGGTACAGAAGTTTTTGCACAGGTGATCTGAATATAATTGAACTTACCAATTAGCTCTTGGCAATCCTTATGAATTATACTCTGTTCTGGCAGGTCTAAAGAGCCATCCCAGGATGCTAGGCTGTCTCCTTTTCCTACAACATTAAGTGCAATCTGAAAGCAAAAATAGAAAACTCTAAACATTTTAGTGTCCTTTTGTAGTTACCTAAATATAGAACTCACTGAAGAGGAATATCGTAAAACTGCATCAACATACATGCATATTAAATTTAATTGTAGTATTAATATTAAAATATTAATACTACAGCTCTTCTGTAGAGATGCCTGGTAATTAAATCATTCACCTCACATCAAACACAACTTCAAGTATTTCCTGGTTCTCGATTTAAGCTTGGATTTACCTTCCAGACTTTGGCCCTCAGATCAGCAGGCAATTGCCTTCCTTGGATGATGTTTCTCACAGTTTCAAGATCACAGCCTCCTTCTTCTAGAGCGTCTGCAAGATCTTTTTCCCTATAATAATATGTAATGTGTTTATTAAAAAACAAACTATACAATATTTTAAAATGTTTACCTATTAAATAGATGTAGACTAGAGGCTACTGTCAGGTAAAACCCACATATATGTGAAGATATAAGACAATTTGCCAATTACTGAAAATAAATATTTGCCAAATGTTATTTAGCCCTTTATTTTTAATACTGCTTGTTCAAATTCTAATCACATTCAATTTACAGATGAGAAATATAAAGATTACAGAGCATTTTTGTTTGCTTTAATTAAGTGGCAGTGTTGCAAAATGTATCATAAAAATGCAAATTTAGTTGTTGTTTACAACTTGAGATACACAGCAAATTTTCAAACACACACAACGCATTCAAAGCAAACACTACACCTAAATTAGATGGCAGAGCTCTTTGAAATAAGTTTTCTGTTTTCTAGGTTGTGTAGTATTTTATTTAAAAGGTTGACAGTCAGCCCTTAACACCATCTTTCCCTGAAATAGGAAAGGACCTTTTAGTCAAACTCAGGTTTACTTAAAGTTCTTATACTGTAAGTGTAGACACGTGCACAAGACTGAATTAAAACATACAAAGATGTTAATCATAGTGTAGAAAGTAGCAAAATACACAAATTCATGAGACGGTCAAAATGAAAACTATAAGTTGCCATAGTAAGGCAACTAAAGTTCATCAGCATTATAGGTAAGAAGGTACACCTTCAGAAATGACTGTTCTACAATCTCTCTGATAACTTCTGCAGACTGTCAGCAATGAATCACACCTGATGAGTTCAGGAATTTCAATACCATGTAGTGCAGCAGTAGCAAAACACCAGGTTCACTGGAAAAACAGCAGTGGCAGTGATACATAGGTCTCCGTAGGCAAAACTTCTCCCTTACTGTATCCTCAACTGGTTTTCTACCCACTCTGACATGTGCCTTGAAAAAGGCTTTACTTATATACCCAAGAAATTAAATGCACAGCCTGGAGGTTTATAGCCAGAGCAAAGCATAGCATGTGACTGCTTACTCAGAACAGATATCCAAGTACGAAGGCGCATTCCTTACGAACAACACAACTACTTCTATGCATGTAATTACAGAAGTTAAATTGTTACCAGTACAACTCCCCATTAATCCATGTTACATACTATGTAGCTAATTTTAAATACCCATGGAAAAAGAATGTCAGCTGTTGAGCTCTGTCTGCTTCTTGAATTTTCACATATCCACAACTAACTCCTTGATATGAAGTTTCGTTTGGCCTTCTGAATGCTTAACAGGTAGATTTCTGACTCTCTAAATATCACCCTTTTGACACACAGATTACAATCTCAATCCCGTAGGAATGGGGGCATATACTTAACAATAAGTAATGAGCTAGCCTTACTTCAGACGTCTCAAAGTATTTATGTGTTTGCAGAGTAAGCATTTTCTTTGTACTGTATCAGCCACTTTCTTCGCCACTACTTTTTGGTAGCACTGTAAATCGAATTTCAAACACACACTGGGGCACAACTAATAGTCTGTTTTCTTCAAGTAATTTTACAAGTTTGGATAAAAGAAAACATAGTTTACAAGACCGACTTGCCTTGTTTTCTTTTATTTTTTTAATATATGTAAACAAATATCCCGAAGCCCACCTAGTACAGAACTACAGACTGCAGGGGTGAATATTCCTTTCCTGAGACAGAAATGGGAGTGGAAAAAATACACAAGCTTACTTGCACATCCAGCCTGTTGTCCAACTCTTTACAGAAGAATCAACGCTGGAAAAATTAAACCACCAAATCAGTCCACCCTGAATAAAAGTCAAATATTTCCAGGACATTTACACAAAAAGACCTAGCACTCATCAGAATTGCATGAACTCTGGCACGATCTAACTTAACAGAAGCCAACAGGAAACATCAGCTAAACAGAGCTAGATGCTTTCAGATCTATTGCAGGTTTCTGTGCAGACAATGCAGACAAAGAGACTACAGAGCAACAGCTAGGCCTTAAATTCCAGCACACAAAATACAGTTAGTTGCTACAAATATTATCCAAATATTAAACTGGCACATGGAAATTAATGTAACAGGTGCTTGCACATTGTATTTCAGATGGAAAGGTCTTAAATTGCAATATGTAATTTTGATTTCTATGATAAGACCTCCAAAGAAAAGTGGGGTATGGAAGTAATTTAATATACATGAAAAAACACTTAAAACCACATCTACACAAATTACAAAATCATACCTGGCAAAGAATGTTTCACAGGCACAAGCATACTAATTCTGCCAGTTACTGGTACCTAATATTCACAGCTTAAAAAGCCGTGCATAGGTTAACATCAAGCTTCAACATGTTATCTGCAAACGTGTACTTCCTCTGCTTATTTGATAATATACTACTATTTGAAACATCTTCTTCATAAATACTGTCATCCACACTTCGTACACTGTGAAAACGACTGGCAAATGCCAGCTTTACTACTTCACTTTTAAAAGTACAAATCTGATATGCCCATTTCCCATATGAAGAGATATGATGCATTGCCACATTGAGTTAAATGAAATAATGGGCGGGGGGGGCAGAAATCGCATTATTCTATTTATTATTTAATTAGCTATTATTTTCCTCCAACAACTCCCAAGTTTGTTTAAAGGCTAGAATTAAGAACTTCTCAAAGATAAAAGGAAATTATTTTACAATAAATATTCTATTCGTGCTAAGTTACACAGTACCATGAAAGTGATTTTGATACTTTAACAAACATCCACTGGCTGTGTTTTACCTCATTTCAGTCTGCGCTGTAAATGTTCCAGCAAACTGCTAGCAATCTGGATCCTTGTCTTTCATGAGCAAAGATCAGCTAGGAAGTTTTCTGTTCATGTGCACTACAGCTATTGCACTTACTTTGGAAAGAATGCCGCACTTCTTGTAGGCAAACTCCTCCAGACTGAACATCCTTCTTCCTGCTCTACCATGGCTCCACTGCCTCATTCTAGACACTAATCTAAATTTTTGTTAGATGGGAACAATTCCAGCCTATACCCAAGCCATGGCCTGTAAGGTTAAGTCCCACAAGACAGACTGTTCTAAACGTCATAATGCATAACATTGATATCAACCTATCTGCAGTAAATTTCCATACTGACAGAAGGATCCCTGAAATTCATGTCAGTTCAGTGACACATTATAATCAGTAGGTAACTATGTTTGTAGATATTATTTTTTTAAAGCCAAAACAATTAAGATATGAGCACAAGCTGAAGGCAATAAAAAAAATACATTGATCAACTGTTGGGACGTCAGCTTTTTTTCTTTTTTTTTTAGTACAATTCATTTTATTTATATATGACTGAGGTAGTTGGTAATAATCACTTACAGATACTAATAGATTAAGAAATTGTGGGGATGTGAACAGCAGGGAAAAGACAGGAAGTGTTTTGATAAACTACAAATACATAGGAAAAGACATACAGTACTAAGAAAACAGTAATTCACTCAGCATATTAGAATGCCTGGCATGTATCTGCTAAAGTCATTCCATCTGCTCATTTGTTATTAGGAAAGACAGATGCCTTTGAACTGCTTCTTCCAAGTCAAAGTGCATTTTTGGAAAAAAAATGGTTCAAAAGTTCAGATTTTTAACTTGTGGCGGGCACACTTTAATACTAATTTATTATTTTTACAGCCCAACAGGTATCTTCTACTCATACCAAATTCATTATCTCAAATGGACTTAATCCAAAATAGGAGAATCACTCTTTTTCCATATACACGGAATCTACTGCTACACAGCAGTATCTGTTACAGATATTACTCAGTAGCCAAAGAGAGGGGTAAAACACGTACTTAGAGTATACTGCTTATCAAACTGCTTCCCATATTCTGACCACTGACCTCATGTTGGTGTAACACCTGAAGAGCTCCGATTATCTTCTCCCACACCCCTCAAGCGATGCACTCACTGTGGCTGCTCAGGATATGCTCTAGCAGGCCCCCGCCACTTCCAGTGGAAGCAGCAGCGTTTCTCAAACATCTGCACACATTCCTGTTTTCCCTAAATCAGGGACAAGGCTACTACAAGTTGAACTCTCGCCAAGAGTATCATCAGGTTTAGTTTCTTCAAAGTAGTTGTCTCCTAGGACATCAAACATCTAGTCTGCAAGTTTTCGTCTAGTTCTGATAACTGCAGCATGGAGAGAGAAAGCTGGGCACATACGTCAGTCACAATGCTGCTGCCATCACGATCATGAGGGCTGTCTGTACATACCACATTAGTGCCAGATTGCACTAATTTATTCTAATATATTCTTATTATTTTTGTTAATAAGAAGGTAGAACTAAACTGCATTTTAAGCAGAAAAAGCTCACAATAGCATACAGGTTTATGACAGGCAGTATTGCAAACCAGCTTTACTTCAGAGAAAACTGGGCAAGTGAATAGAGCTGATAAATATGTATGAAGCCGATGGCTAATATCAATTATTTTTTACAGTCATTATTCTACCTTCCCACAGCAAAGAACGTAGCTTCCCACCACAGTAAACCATCTATATAAAAGCTTCTCCCCCCTGCCCTGGCTCCAAACTATGCTTTTATACAATCTAGTTACTCCGATTCCCACTTTTAATTTAGTATTCTCCTGACTTCCAGAAAAAAAGACTCAACAAGAGCTATATGAAATCGAAAGTAACAAGGAGTGTTTGTTCTCTATTGAAACAAACATAAAAAAATCAATCCCACATATTTGTTTCAAAATATCCATTGTATTCTGAACACCATTGAACATTCTTGTTTTCCAGTGGAATTTTGGAAAAAAACACTAATTCCCTGACATTTTTACCTCTATTTTTTCCTCAAGTGTGTTACTTTCACATTTAACTGCAGAGGAGTTCTTGTTTGTATGCGTTCAGAAGAAATATCATGGCTCTAAGAACTAATGAGCAAGATTCGGAGCACAGAAAAATGATATATGTACAAGTTGTTGTCTGAAACAGTTGGAGTGTATTTTGGGAC